AAGCTGTGAAGAAGTCCTTAGGTCAGAATGTCAATGGCCACTCCTTGAAACCGCCTCTTGCAAATGTTGGCAACCGTGCAAAATCAATTCCCTTTTAACTAGGAGCCGTAATTCAATTTAGGAGGGAATTGGGGGCAAAGTGTGGAGGGAAAAATCCCTCCACCAATAAGAATCAGCCACATCATTGAAGTAAGTTAGAGTCCAAACTCTTCTCCAAACCAGCCTATCAAAGTCCAATCTCGGTAAAGCCCAAATAAAGCCACTGATTGACCCGAGGTTATCCATATTAGCTTCTTGATCTGTGGGCCGGCCCATTTACATCCAACTCCAGTTTAATTGAATCAAAGTCTTTTTACTTAAGGATTCTGCATAAAAGGAAACTCTGCATAGAGGAAACTTGGTATAGGAAGAACTACGAAAGGGAAGAACTATGTTGGTAAAGAATTGTATAGAAAATGAATTGGAGGACAAGCAAAGCGAGTCCTACCATAATTCCATCATCTTTTTGTATATAAATGGAGGCGTAGACCTCCAATAAAGATGATCGAGCATTACAAGCTTCTCTCTGAATTATTATTATTAATTGTTTTTTTATTTCGAGTGAGTTGTATATATTCATTTAACTTTTTAGTCAAACGAATTATTTGCACCAACAGTATGAATGACATATTATAAGGGTTTATTTCTTGAAGGGAAATTAGAGACTTTTCTAGTTTATTGAATCTTCAATTTGCTAAAAAAAAAAATGAAAGAGTTGTCAAAGTCATTCTAAGCAATAGAGTAGGTAATATACCTCAAAAGAATTTGAAAATTGACTTCTCAAATTCGTAGGCAAGTTCATGTACTCTCTGTATATGAATCTAACATATATACACATAGTGTCATATACTTGAAATGTTGAATTACATTTATAACACACATCCCGTAATTTAGAAATTTTTAGCTTTTTTTTTTTATTTTATTTTTTTTTTTTTTTACATGTGTTGATTCGCCTCCACTTTCTTTTTACACACTTTTGCATTAATTTAGTGATTTGTACTTGTAACAATAATCAAACTGATTTTGACACTTTCAATCTCCTTGTTTTAGTTGCCATTTCTTCCACGGTCTTTCACAACAAAATAAGGAAAATGATATGAGAACCGAACCAAACAACCGAATGAGAGGTCAAACTTACTGTAGCTGGGCCATGTTAGATTATTTCCTAAAAGTATAAACGCGTGAGATGCTATACTTCTTTGTTTCTCTCTGCTTTCTCTAATTCTCGGTTTTTCTTCTCTATTCAATCTTATCTCAATTGATTTAGGTTTTGTTTCTCTCCTTTTGATTTTGCAAAATTGAAGATAAAAAAAAAAATTAAAATTTCTTCATATTTTGCAGATACAAAAGGTACAAAATCAAAAAAGGGGGGAAAAAGAAAAAACTACAATTATTATTTCTGTCTTTGAAATTTTGTATCCATAAAAATCAAACAGAAATTTTGATATGTGTATACGTTTCATCCAAACGTTTGGACCATTCTCAAACTAGAATTAATCTGTAAAAATTTGACCACTAGATTGAGAGATAGGATAGATAAGAACAATTAATGAAAAACAAGAGAGAAACGAAAAGGAAGAGAGAAAAAAAGAAATAAGTGTCTTACGCGTAATAAAATTGTGTGACGTGACTATGGCCACGTCAAGTTCGGTGTTTTTTTCGGTACAAACCTTCGGTTTCTCTATCACTTGCTCACAAAATAAATATCTTTTTTTTTTTTTTTTTTTTGAGTATTTGAAAGCATTTTGATTTTGGATCATGGTTGGTGTAAAACTTTTATGTGAATAAATTTCTCAAGGAGATCACCTTTTACATTGAAAATGACGAATGGAGGCATGAATCTTTATTAAAAAAAAAAAAAATCATTTTAGAAAAATAATAGTCATATAATAGTTGAGAAAGGAGAAATATTTTATGCTCTACCTAAAACTAATTTATTCTTGTAAGATGAATATTTTTTTTATACCATGTGTGTATTAAAGGAATGATAAATCTCAAAGATATTTATTGGTAAAGACACATAAGGAAATGTATACGAAGCTTTCAAGCTCTCAGTAGAAGTTCCTGATTTTGGAGCATAACACCCATGTGATGGAGATATATATATACATAATTATAACACACTTGGCCAAGGCTTTTTAATTATCATAATGACTAAAATGACTTGTTATGGGGTACAGCACAAGTAGTAGGTTGATCATCAATTGTTCATTTGCAATAAAGGAGTTAGCTTAATTAATTTGCCCTTTTAATGGAGTCAATTCATGATATTATAGTGTTTGTTAGGTGAGAAAATTTGTGGCTTTTGATGATGATTTAATTATAGCTATAGGAGTTAGGTATCTTTTTCATTCGTAACAACGGTTGAAGGGTTTTTTCCTCCAAGAAACCCTCCTAAATGTGCATTTATGATGGGGCCTATATTATTCTATCTGGGGGTCCAAAATAAATTGAATTGAACTGTTGTATTTAAAAAAACTCTTATCAGTTTCTAAGAATGGAGTGTATTAGTTACAATATATATATATATATATATATATATATGTATGGAGAGACACAATGAAAGAAAGAAACAACGAGGAGAGGGTGTTTTGACATTAGAGAATTAGAAAGTGATCTTAAATATAATATCAAAGTTGAAAGGAAAAAAAAGTAAAATAAAATTATTGTTTTACAATAGACCATGATATTGAAGGAATTATTTAACTTGGATTCCTTTAGACCTCTAGAAGGATGAGAGCTCCTCAATTAGTTTAGTGGTTACATATAAAATAATTTCATAAATCTTAATCCATAATCTAAACTTCTTTAATTAACCGTATATCTTACTTTTAAAACTAAAAAAATAAATACAGTATTTTTTTGTTTGTTTGTTACTTAAATCACTACATTTAAAAAAAGTACTACTATAATTTTTCAAGAGAGGATTGATATTTGTGAATTATTTAAAATAGCTCTCAATTCAATATTACTAAATAATTCAGGGAGTAATGGTTAATTTTTTTGGAGCATCTTCATCCCTTTTCATTTGAACATTTTTTTTTCTTTTCTTTTCGGAAGGTAAGATTTTATAAAAGCAAACCAACTGTACAAAGGCAAGCCCACGATGCATAGGCAACCCAAAGTTACACACCATAGAAATAACAGGCCAAAGCCCAGCAGAAAAGCATAAAACACAGGGCAAGGCCCAACAATACACAAAGATGAAACCCAATGGTAATTAGAGTAATCTTGTGTACGACCTAACAAATATCCGGTTAGAGAAGGATTAGGGCTAAGCAAAGCGAAGCCCTAAAATGGGAGGTCCGCCGGCTCCGGCGGTGATCATTTGAACATTATACATCAACTAATTTGAGCTTTACATATCATTACATTTTAAAACTTATTCATCAGTTTTGCTACATGTTTTAAATAATTGTCCACTTTTTTCAACTGTAGTTTCTACTTGTAATTATTAAATATAAGAGAGAAATGCTATATTTTTAACATATTAAATAGTTTTCAATTCATCATTAGGGGTAAATAAAAAAACATTTAAAATGGGTAAATCGGACCGGATTAAATCAAATCAAACTGTACAACTTGGTATAGTTTTATAATTAAACTGTTCGATTCGAAAGAACCATTGATTATGGTTCGATTATGGTTTGGAATTCAAAATGACCAAACCAAACCATTATTAATAAATATAGATAGATATTATATATTATAGAATATACTTGTTCAAAATATAACTTACAATATATAACATTATTTGTATGCATACATTTCAAAATTTCGTTTTTCATTTTATTGGTATCTTTATATAGGAAAGTTTGAAACCGTAGAATAGAACAGAACTAAATTGGTCATTACAGTTGATTTTTATTCATCCAGTGAACCAAAGTAAATTGTGTGCACCCTATTTTTCAGCACTACTCATCGTAATGGAGTGACTATATGGTTATGGGATCCATATGATTGTAGAAAAATATTTAAAAACTAAAAATACCCAAAAATTTGATTGGCATATTTGATTTAATTTTATAAAGCAAAAATTGTTAATTCAAATTTTATTTTCTATAAATTTTTTAAAGAAAGAAATGAATACTGTCCAACACGGGCTTGATCGAGCATTCTGGCCCAATCCAATAGCTTCATTTAGTTAGGCCCATCCCATTTTGCATTTAATTGTTACTTTGTTAAAAAACTTAAGATATTAATTAGTGGTAAAACTCAATCCATATATATATATATATATATATGCGCCCATTTACTTCACCATTGGGATCTAATGTGACAAGACTCCCTTATAAACATTAAGTCACTAAAAACTATTCTTTTAGTTTCGTTTTATAGATAAAGGAAAAGAGAGAGAGAGTCTTAGGAAGATACAAAATACACATGAATATCTTATAATTTAGAGAGTATGAATGCTTATTATGCTTCTATAAATGAATCGTATCATCAAAATAATATTTAATCATTTTGAATACTTAGCCAACACCATTCAAAAATTTGATGGACAATTTCTGAACGTCCATGAACATGTATATTACTAAAGAGTCATATTTATCAATCTTAAAAATAATTTGAACACATTTAAAATTTTTAACTTTATATTATATTTTTATTTATTAAATAAAAAAGTATTAAAAGTAAAATAATAGCATATATGATATAACAATCCTTAAACAATTGCATATCTTTTTTTTTGGTTTAATTTTTTTATTCAAGGAACAATTATATATCTTCATATTCTAAATTATATCAAAGTCAATCTTAATATATAAATTAGAAATGAATTAAAATGCTATAATATTTGACTCAATATATGTATATAATTTATATAAATAAAATTTTATATTTATATGTAACCATCTCCGTATCCTACTTCCTTGAATTAACTTGTGGATGTATGTATCCATGCTAGTTTATTACTGTACTAACAATAGACACTTTATTACCTGCAACCAAACAAGCAAGCAGAAATAACCGAAGGCTATTTTCGTAATTTAACATTTTCCCCCTCCCCAACACATTTTCGATCAGTAGGTAGATCGATCAATAACCGCCGAAGAAGAAGATGCTCCTCGCCGTCCTCATCGCGAACGCCGGTGGAAACATTCTGCTCGAGCGGTACGCAATGATCTCATCCGTTCGTCTTTATGATCTACACTACCGCGCACACCATCTCACGAATCGTAGCAGATGAATTATACTTTTGAAGTTTTTGTTCTTAATTGTTTAATTTTGAATATGATGTGTTTGTTTGTTACATCATTGAAATTAAAAATATGGAAGATTTGAATGTACTATAATGTGTTTTAGATGGCATTGAAATGCTTCAATTGTTCATGTTTCTTATTGATTATGAGGTTTCTCATTCGGAATGGTCTTATTTTGGGTAAATGACATTAGTTTGATGGAAATATTTAAGTACCGAATTAATTAAAGTCCTGAAATTTAATTTCAAAATGAACCTTGTTCTTAATTGAAGGAATGCCCACTCATTTTAGTTAAAATTCTTGGAGCTATATCAATTTTAATGAGCAGTATTGCTTTTTTCCTGTGCTCTTTAGGGTTTGAACAATCCTTCTAGGCTAGAATGGGATCTCATAAAATTGGGAAATTGAGTAAGCTTCCCGAGATTTTGGGTTTAAACAATGTGCAAATGGCTATATTGTAAGAGAGATGGTCAGTCCTGAAGAATTCTCTAATTATAGTCAGCAAGTCATTCTCTATTGAATTCCATTATAGCATTTCAGACTAGGTGCTCTAAGGGGGCATATTATAGCAACTGACTTTATCTTGTCAGACGAAGGACACATACATTGTTAGGAAATTAGACACAACTAATTTCTTTACGACCCTGCCGTCAACACCCACAATAACATGCATAGAAACACAAGACAAGAATTATACGTGGTTCGGCCAATTTTGCCTACGTCCACGGCGCGCACCAGAAATTTACTATATCTGTTGAGTAATTACAAGATATGGATCAACAGATCCCACACACACATACACCGTGAATCGCTCTCTTCTGAAAAATACACTCTGTGTTTTCTTGTTCACTCTCTAAAAAATACTCACACTGTATTTCTCTCTTTTTTCTTCCTCTCTTATCTCTCACTTTGCTCTTCTCTTTGTCTGAGCTATTGAGCTTGTGTGTTTTTGTGTTGTTTGCTTTCATCTTCTTTGTTCCTATTTATTGCTGAAGATAGGAGACATCTTTCCTTAAATATAGCCTTGAATCAAGACACTATGGTAAGAAAAAATGCAAAAGCAAAGTGGGTGGGCAGTAAAACAGTTGCAAAGTGAACCAACATTAATGGCCACCGAAAAATGAGCAGTGATTGTGGCCATGTCATAACAATCTCCCACTTGGCGAACTTTGCACGAGTAACTCAACTTTAGTGATAACGATGCACTTCTTTCTGTCTTCAAGCTAGAAGACCGACTGAAGTTGAGCACAACTTCAGTTTCTTTGTAGTCACTATCTTGGTTAACATGTCGGCCGGATTCTTGGTGCCAAGTATCTTATCAAGTGTCAACACCCTATCTTCCAACAAAGATCTGATGAAGTGATACCGAAGTCCTATATGCTTGGTCCTTGAATGAAATGCTGAATTCTTTGCCAGATGTATAGCACTCTGATTGTCACTGTACAAAACATTCTTCACTTGCTTGAATCCTAACTCTACCAACAATCCCTGTAACCGGATCATCTCTTTACTGGTTTCTGTCACAACAACATATTTTGATTCTGTAGTAGATAATGTTACAATCTTCTATATCTGCGAAACCCAGCTTACTGCAGTCGTACCTACCGTGAATACATACCCGGTAGTATTTCTTCTGTGATCTATCTTACCAGCAAAGTCTGAATCTACATATCCTTGTACCTTCACCTCACCTCTTCTGAAACATAGACATCTTTCTGTGGTACCTCGTAGATATCTCAATATCCATTTCACTGCTTCCTAGTTTAGCTTTCCTGGATTTGTCATGAACCTGCTTACAGCTCCCACTGCATATGCAATGTCTGGTCTCGTGCATACCATGGCATACATTAAACTTCCAATGGTTGAGGCATACGGAATCTTAGCTATGAAGTTCATCTCATCATTTGTCTTTGGACACTGATCTTGGGATAATCAAAAGTGATTAGCTAAGGGTGAACTTACCGCCTTAACATTACTCGTGTTAAACCTCTTTAGAATCCGTTCAACGCAGCCTGAGACAACTTCAAAGTACCTTTATGATTGTCTCTGTTAATCCTCATCCCAAGAATCTGCTTCGCTGCACCAAGATCTTTTATCTCAAATTCACTAGACAATTGCTTCTTCAACTTGTTGATTTCTTCAAAATCAGAACCAGCTACTAACATGTCATCAACATAAAGTTGGAGGATGATGTAACTCGTCTCAAACCTCTTGAAGTAGCAGCGATGGTCAGCGTTGCACTTACTCTAGCCATGTATTTGCATAAACCCATCAAATTTCTTGTACCACTGCCTCGGAGCTTGTTTCAAACCGTACAAGTTTTTCTTCAATTTGCACACAAGTTTCTCCTTAACTCTGACTGAGAAACCTTTCGGTTGCTGCATGTAAATCTCATCCTCTAGGTCTCCATAGAGGAAAGTAGTTTTGACATCTAATTGTTCTAGATGCAAACCTTCTGCTGCAACAATGCTTAAAACTAATCGAATGGTAGTCAGTTTTACAACCGGTGAAAAAATGTCGGTGTAGTCAATCCCTTCCTTATATTGAAAGCCTTTGACAACCAATCTTGCCTTGTATCTCTTGGAACCATCATGTTCTTTTTTGACCCTGTACACCCATTTGTTGTGAAGAGCTTTCTTTCCTACTGGTAACTTTGCAAGTTCCCATGTCTTATTGGAGATAAGGGACTTCATCTCATCTTCCATTGCAAGCTCCCACTTGCTATCATCTTCAACTTGACATGCTTCGGCATAGCATTCAGGCTCATTATCATCTGTGAGCTACATATAATCCAAATATTTTCGATTTGGAATAGGTTCTCGTGGGGACTTTCGAAGTTTGGGTGTTGGAGTTGGACTTCGCGATGTACATTGATTGATGAGTTCCTGCTGTGAACTCTCAACTATCTGATCCTCAACATTTTCTAAATCATCATTCAACTTGACATACTCAGGGCTCCTCTGTACAGGACTAGTTGACTGTGCTGCATCTTTATCCTTGTACATCACCTTCTCATTGAAAATCACATCTCTACTTCTGATGATTTTCTTGTTTTGGTAATCCCATAGTCTATAACCAAGTTCATCTCCACCATAACCAATGAAGATGCATTTTAGTGACTTGGGGTCGAGCTTTCCCCTAGCATGGTCACTAATATGCGCATATGCAATACAACCAAAGACTTTCAACCACGAAAGATTTACCTCCTTGCCGCTCCATGCCTCATCAGGTATTCGATGCTCCAGTGGCACCGACGGTCCGTGATTAATCATGTAGGCTGCTGTGCTGACTGCTTTTGCTCAGAACTGCTTGGTTAGACCCGCATATATGCGCATGCTTCTGGCTCTCTCCGTCAATGTTCAGTTCATCCGTTCTGCCACCCCGTTTTGCTGTGGGGTTCTTTGCACAGTTCTCTTCAGTCTGATTCCATTTTCAAAACGGAACTTCTTGAACCCGGTGTCTTCATACTTTCCACCGTTGTTTGATCTCAACCTTTTGATCTTCAAACCTGTCTCATTCTCCACCATAGCTTTCCAATTCTTGAACACCTTAAACACTTCAGATTTGTGCTTTAAGAAATAAACCCATACCTTCCTCGTGTGATCATCAATGAAAGTCACGAAGTAAGATTTTCTGCTAATTGATGAGACTGATGCTGGCCCCAGACATCTGTGTGAACTAACTCAAGCTTCTCTTTTCTGAGAGTTTTGCCACTCCTTTTGAAATTAACCCTCTTCTGCTTGCCCATCATGCAACTCTCGCAGAAGTCAATATCAATCTCTCCTATGCCTTGTAGTTTCCCTTTTGAGTGCATGATTTTGAGCCCCTTTTCACTCATGTGACCTAGCCTCTAGTGCCAAAGGTTGTGATCCTTTTTGCTCTTTGCTTTCTGCAACTGTTATTGATCCATAAGCACTGGGGGTTGTGTAGAGAGTGCCAGCCTTCTTACCACGTGCAATGGTCATAGCACCTCTGGAAACCTTCCATAAGTCTTCATTGAAGGTTGTAATGAAACCTTCTTCTGACAGTTGACCCACATAAATCAGATTCTTCCTCAAGTCAGGGATGTGTCTAACATCTTTCAATTTCCATACAGATCCATTTAGCTTGATCTGTATTTCACCCTTGCCGATGATATTGCAGGGTTGATCATTGCCAAGATACCCCTTTCCCAGGTTACCTGGTACATAGCTCTCAAAGAGCTCTCGACTTGAGGTTTCATGAAATGATGCTCTGGAATCTAGAACCCATGATTCCGCCTTGCTCTCTAAAGAGTATATCAGCGCATCGTCTGATTCTTTTGAGACCACATTCGCCTCTGTCTTGTTCTCCTTTTCCTTTTTCAGAGATCTGCACTGGTTTTTGTAATGACCAGTTTTGCCACAATTCCAACGCTCAACATCATTATGGTCTGTGGAATTCTTGGCATTTTGAGGTTGTGATTTTCCGTTCCTCGACTTGGATCTAACTCTGTTCTTATTCCCGCTACCCTTATTCTTGTTTAAACTTCTACCTTTGTTGTCAACATTTAAGGCTGAGCCACTTGTGGAAACTCTTGTTGTTTGCCTTTTGATCTCCTCAATTAGAATCATGCTTACAACGTCGTCAAACTTCAACTTAGTCTTTCCTGCAAAGCTACTGATTGCCGTAACTGTGCTACTCCAACTCTCGGGTAATTGCCCAAGAATTAGTATTGCTTGGACCTCGTCTTTGTATTCAATTTCAACAGACTCTAATTGGCCAACAATCTTGTTAAACACATTTAGATGCTCGTTGAATCTTCCACCTTCAACCATTTTCATGTTGAACAATTTCTTAATCAAGTGCACCTTGTTTGCTGCAGACGGCTATTCATACATACTGGAAAGGGCCGCCATGAGAGATTTCGTTGTCTTCTTGTTCTTGATGTTGAAGGCAATTGTTTTTGACAACGTCAATCTGATGGTGCCAAGAGCCTTCCAATCAAACAATTCCCATTCTGCACTTTTTATGTCCTTCGGCATATGCCCCGGAGGTTGATACAAATTCTTCTGGAATAACAAGTCTTCAATTTACATCTTCCAGAAACTGAAGTTTGTACTGTCAAACTTCTCGATCATAGATGATTTATCTTCTGACACCATTACTCCCACTAAAACGAAAAATTTTGTGACTAGTACCGTATACTGGAACAGTACCATCTTTTGGAACAGTTGCGTATTCTGTTACAGTTCCGTACTCTGCTACAGTAACTTCGGCAGAACACTATTTGCACAGTACTTCAATAGTACTTGCACAATGCAATGACAGCGACCTGGGCTCTGATACCAATTGTTAGGAAATTAGACACAACTAATTTCTGTAGGACCCTGCAGTCAATACGCACAATAACATGCATAGAAACACAAGACAAGAATTATATGTGGTTTGGCCAATTTTGCCTACGTCCACGGCGCGCACCAGAAATTCACTATATCTGTTGAGTAATTACAAGATGTGGATCAGCAGATCCCACGCACACATACACCGTGTATCTCTCCCTTTTGAAAAATACACACTGTGTTTTCTTGCTCACTCTCTGAAAAATACTCACACTGTATTTCTCTCTTTTTTCTTCCTCTCTTATCTCTCACTCTGCTCTGCTCTGCTCTTTGTCTGAGCTATTGAGCTTGTGTGTTTTTGTGTTGTTTGCCTCCATCTTCTTCATTCCTATTTATAGCTGAAGATAGGAGACATCTTTCCTGAAATATAGCCTTGAATCAAGACACTATGGTAGGAAAAAATGCAAAAGCAAAGTGGGTGGGCAGTAAAACAGTTGCAAAGTGAACCAACATTAATGACCACCGAAAAATGAGCAGTGATTGTGGCCATGTCATAACATACATCTTGTCAGATGAAGGACTCATACGCGTGCTCAAAACCCCCTGTAGCCATATACATAAGATCCCAAGTGGCCTCGTTTTGCCAGGGGCAATGACATTATGAAAAGATGGTTTTGGCTTCCACTTCTAAAACTCTGCTTGCAACATCACCCTTCTCCTTTCCCATTCCGTTTATATTTTCCTCCAAATCCATGTTAATTGGAATCCATGGGGGTCCTCGGTGGCTATTGATCGACTGGCTATGAAGAGGAGCTATTAGATTGATTTCCCACTTGTACGTGATGTAACAACTCCAAAAGGGGGTGATTGTGGCAACCTTGTGGGCGGGTGTGTGTGAGTGTGTGCAGGTGGCACCAGTAGGCTATCACACTGGTTGAACTACAGGTACACAAGCACACATCGCTTGGGTGTGGATGGGGCAAGTGCTATATATAGATTCAACACCCTTCTATGACACAACACGTTCTAAAGCCTTGATGACTGTGAACCCGCCAGAACTCCAGAGTTAAGCGTACTTAACTTAGAGTAGTACCAGGATTGGTGACCCCCTGGGAAGTCTTTGGTCGGGGGGAGCCAAAAAACGGACAATATTGTGTCTGGCTAGGGTAAGGGTTGTAACACGTGAGGATATGGTTGAAGTAGAAAGCATGGTGATGTGAAAGGATAAAAATAACCCCATAATTGACTTTGGCTAATATTGAATAAAACTGTTATTTTTGTCTGGCAAGTATGTTGACATTCTATTTCTTCTCATGAAGGTGAAGAGCAGGGGCAGACTCCATAATTTTTCTTGGGGTAGCCAAAGTAGTCACTTGGACCGAAAACTTAAAAAAGAATTATAATTTGTAATTTATTTTTCTTTCAATAGAAGGTTTAGTATATAATTTGTCTTCTCCATAGTATTCTATCTCTAGACTCTAGAGAATAATTTTATATGAGGAACTACTGAACAGTCTGAACCCAATCCCAGGCTGCCATTACTCTTCAGTTTTAAGTTGAGGTCTTTCAGCTTGACGTACTCAAATTTGATTCTTAAAATAAAAGAAGATCTTATATAATATTGTTTAATAAACCGAAAGTATTTCATAAGCTATTAATTAAGGTCATAGAAGTGTACATTGTGCTAATTCATCATAGATACACACAAAAATGGACAAAAAAGAGTTAAAGTTATCATATATCTAGTCAAATAGCACACATATGTACAAAACATTAAAATAAGGGATCAAATATCTGCTATCAAAATTGTGCCCAACAATCTTTTAGAGAATCATCTATTATTGAAAACAAATTGAAATTGTCAACACTTTAATTTTAATGTTGACAATTAAGTAATCTGCTAGAAACTCGTCCTCCATCTTGTTGCAAAGTATTGTTTTTAATAATTTTCGTAGCTGGAAAAGCCCTTTCTGTGAGTAGCAGCAATAACACATCATTCATGATTGCAGGCTATTCAAATAAGTTTTAAGTTGAACCTATAATAAGAAAAACAATTGCAGGGAAACTAATACTATTATATGTAGAGTTGGTGATGAAAGCAAAATTGTATAGTAATGTTATAAAATTAAAGGTTCAATAATGCACAAAAGATCTTATGCAAATATATATTTTTTCTTTGTGAAAAAAAAAAAAGCAAAGAGAGAGAGAGAGGGAGATTAGGGTTGAAATAGAAACAAAGAAAAAGTTAAGGAAAATGATTTTTATAAAAATCATTGGGAAAAAAAAAAAAAAAAAAAAAAAAAAAAAAAAAAAAAACTGATAAATTTTAGAAAAAAGATATGGAATATTGGAAAATTTTAGGGGATGATACACAGAATTTTCAAATATTGTGGTGGCCATGTCTCCTCTAGTCCCTTAGAAGTTCTGTCCCTGGCAAAGAAGCTAGTTATTTCCCTATATATACTTATATAGATTTATAATACATATATGGACAGTTATTAGCAAAAGATAATAGTTCAAGAGATTTCATTTGTTTGGTCTAATGGTAAAATTATTATTTTGAAAGTCTTTTCCAAGTACTTCATATGTTTTTGGAAAAAAGTTCTTGTGTTACTATCAACCTCAATCCACTCTGATTTTTCAAATTGAACTTTCCAACCTGAGCTTAATCGAAGTTCAAATTTTTTTATATGCAGGCTAAATTCATGTTGGGGGAGCTTAGATTGGGGATTGGGTTGGGTTGAAATTGGAATGAAGGTTTCATACCTTGGGTTGAGTCTGGGATTATATCTATCAATTGTGCAACCCGCTCAAGTTTCTCATCTAGACCAAGCCTATAATAGGTCTCAAAATTATGTTCCCGCCCTTGGCTGCCTGCTAACCTTTTTATGAGTATTGTGAAAATTAACTTCATCATCAGGGTAAACTGCCATTGACTCCAGAGCTAAGCTCCTATCTGTTTACACTTCTTTGTTTTGCCTGATAAGCAACTAGAGCACAGGGTTCTAGTAATTCGTCTGATGCACAAAAGTTGCGACACCCTCCTTCCTTGCTCATTTGGGGGCATGCTATGGCTGGTGAGTCGGTGACCTGCAAAATGCAAACCAGAAATCATTAACTTTTCCCTTAATCATGGAATCAATTATTCCATCCCATTGCATTAATTGAAACAACTGACAAGATGTTTCTTACTTTGGTTCCCCTTATGATGGACCTGTAGCATTTGATAGAAAATGATTGCTCAGTTTGGTTTCCCATTAGTATTACACATTTGAAGCATTGAGTCAGTGTTCTTGTTATTTTGCAGCTTCAATGGAGTTCCAGCTGAGGAACGGCTGCAGTGGCGCTCTTTCTTAGTTAAGTTGGGAGCGGATAATCTCACAGGTGTGAGAAATGAAGATCTTCTTGTTGCTTGCCACAAGTATGTAACGTCCGTCTACTGATTTTAGTATCTGTCATACATATGCTATACCTAATTTTTTGTGGATAAGTTATATCCGCTTTCTCTATTTTGGAGTTCTACAGAAGGATCTAAAGCAATTAGGAGGACAAGAGATAGGTTCCAAAATGTTTTTGACATTGTCACATTTGCATTGGACATTGTCTTAACATTTAGTCAAAAGTCCTCTCTCTCTCTCTCTCTCTCCTTTTTTTTTTTTTCAGTATTGTAATACTATTCTTCTGGCAGGTCCTTCCAGTTTTTTCTTTTAACTGTGAAAAAAATGCACTTTGCTTTTATGTCATCTGTCATTTTGTTTCTCTGCAAGCTGTATCTTAGGAAAAGTGGAAAGTTCATTGTGCTGTTCTGATATTATTTTTAGGGGTGGTAATTTTTTTTTAAAACTGCTATACTCATTTCAAGATAATTAGAATGTCCTTATCTTTCAATACACTCAACCATCAGTGCCACTGGCACAAGATTGTGTCTGTTAACAGGCCATGTCACAAGACATCAAAGGTTAGGTCTATCTCGAATCCTCCCTCCCTAGGACCTTGCCATGATGTGACTATAGCTCTGCTGGGTAATGCCCTTTATAATTCAGTTGTTGTGGGACAATTTCAGTTGTTTAAATGCCATGGGATCAAAATCGTTGTTGTTGTTGTGTTTTTTTTTTTTTTTTTTTTTTTTTGGGTTTGGTACAGTGGTGGAGTTGGTGAAAATGGTAGTGATAGGGCTACAAAATAATTAACTATTAGGTTTTGGGTCTCGCCTTAGTTCTTGAGCTGTTCCCAAGGAAATGTATCCAGACTGTGCTCAATCTCGAGTTGAGCTTGGCCTTACGTGTTCAAGCTTGTGCTCGACTTGGTTCATTTCTTTATTAAATTAAGAACAAAATCCAAAATGAAGAAGAAAAACTTATTCAAGCATCTGAAATTTCCTTTTAAGATAAAAAAATCAAAATATATTTCTAAATTGTGCAGGTGAAAACCCTAAATCTCAACCATTTGCCATATGGGTCTTACGATATTTGATTAATCCATAGAGAGAGAGATGTACTGATGACTAAGTTGCTAGAAAGAGAGATTGAAAGAGGAATGAAGCCAAGGAAGAGAGGAGGAAACTTGTAGGAGCATTGAGTCATTAACTATCGTTCTTTCTCTAACTTGATGCTTTCTCTCTCTAAACTCTTCAATGGCTTTTCATATATGTTTCTAGTCATTTCAATTTCTTTTGTAAACTCTCTTTCTGCAATTTTTCTCTCTAACCTTCACTCACATGTTTTTGAGTCCTATACCTTCACATGTTTTACAGTTATAAAACATAGGTCTGATATTTTATACTGGTGGATTTTTCACGAGCCCATACTAGTAGAACTTGGGTATCCTCTAGTTCAGTTTGTCAACTAAATGATCCGCCAATAGCTCAGACTTGGCTCTTTTTTCCCACTCAAATGAGCCTGAACAAGATATTGTGATAAAGAACTGAGCATGGTCCGAGAGCTTGAAGTACATATGACCCACACCTACTATCGGAGATGTGGGAAAGATAGATGGAATTAGGGATTTTTGTCTATTCATTATTATTGGATATTTCAGTTTTTAGTATTTTAGGGTTTTATTTTTCATGGTATTAAGATTTGATTAGGGTCCTTGATGCCTATGTATATGTGGGTTATCAAACTTTGTTAAGGCAACCTTTTATGATTGATTATTAAATATTCAGATATTACTGTGATTTCTTCCCCCTTTATTCTTCTTCTCTTTTTCCTCATTCTCTTTCTTGTTCTCCTTGAATTGTGATTTCGAAGCACCCTACCACCTCCTACATCATATTGTCAAGTGGAATTGGAGCAGTAAATGAACATCTGGTTCACTTTCAGACCTTCCAAAGAGATTCAGGTGGGTGCTTGTACAAGTAATAGTAATTATGATAGCAATGATGCAGTGGAAGTCTGCCACATCCTCCTTAGCTCAAGTGGCATCTTTTCTTCCTCCCAGAAAAGAGGTTGAGGGTCATGTCCTAATTGGGGCAATAGTGGGCGTGTGTGAATTAGGTGTGTTGTGCCTTACCTACCAAGAAAAAAAAATGTGGTGCAAGTGGTGGTTGTGCTGGAGGTAAAGGTATTCGTTGCTGTAGCCCAGGCCATTGTGTGATGGCAGCAGCCCAAGTTTGATGATAGTGATGGCTGTGGCATGCTGGATATTGTGGCGGTGGCTGCTGTGGCATAGTGGTAATAGTGGTGGAAATAGCATTGTTCGTCATTGTTGTGGCTACAATGTTAGAATCCCAGAATGGTTAGGAAGCTAGTAATGACATGGTGATGGTGGTAAAGTTTTGGTGTTAACAGCGCTGGCTGGCACAAGAGGTGGTGATTGCAGCGGTCGTTGTGGAATAAGAACAATTGATTTCGTTTACCGATTATAACATCAACAGGAACTATTACAACGACTCATTACAGCAACCGTTTACCGTAACAAGTAGCCCCAACATGTATTATGTTTTCAAAGTTTGCATGGTTGTGTTGGATGCGCACATTGGACCATGCTTGATGTGGTCTTTATTCCTTTCTTCTAAGACATTCTTACTTTTTGTTACTTCTTTTTCTTACCGCTTATTTTGATTTTGTTCTTCTTTTTCCTGAAATTTCACTTGTGCCAAAAGTGTTATCACTTATACATTATTTTTGTTTAATATATAAAAGATCCTTTTGGGATCACTACTTGGAAGGCAAGTGAAGGAGAACATGAAGCTCTATGAAATTGAGGATTAACATCCACTTAATGGCTATCTGCTCTTTTAGTACTATGTTAAAGGTTGTTATTGTAAGAACGAAGGGATATTCTCCTTTCAGACAAATGATTTGCTCAACAATTTTGATCTTTCAAACTTTTAAAACGTGACCAAATGTCACCATAAGTTGTCACAAATTTGGTATCAATTAAGTCCTTGGGCATAGAGAATTTATAAGTTCTGTTATTATGGCATTTGTACTGAACATTTTAAGTGTTGTATCTTTGATTTATTTAGGTTGTCAAAATTTTGTTCAAGTTTGACTGAGGTCATGGTATTGAATAGAGGGGGGATGGGGAAATAGGATTCTTGTAGCCAACACCAATTAGTTGATAAAATGCTTAGTTGAATTTTGTTGAGTGAATTTTGTTCTGTTCCAGTGTTTAGGATATTAGGATTTGGAATATTCAGTTATGGGTCAACCAAGGTTGCAATCAGTTCTTGCTTTTGTGAGAATATCTGCAGTATGATACCCAAAATTACCGCAGTTCACCTTTTCTGTCCTTTTACTTTTTATTCTTTATTTTCTTGTAAGAGTTCTTTTTCCACCCCTCCCAGTCTTCTCCAGTTTACTCCAGTTCCCACTGAGGCACAAAAAAGTATTTATGTCTTTCAACTACAAAATGGAGCTAATCATGTATATTTGCATGTTTGTAACATGATAGAATTGAAAAATGGGGCGCCTAACTCTTCTGGATAAGAATTTTATACAGAAACCCTTTAAAGTTGTAGAAGTTGGAGCCCCAGTCTATCTATGAATTAGAAGATAAATTAATCTTCTGGAAGGCACCCTTGGTATATATTTTAAGTAAATATGAAAAAGAATCTTTTTAGAATTGTCATTGTTTCTCTTATCCGCACTTGGTTGATCTATTGTTTTCTTTTTCAGATCAGTTTATATTATTTACACTGTTCTTGGAGACATCAGCATTTTTGTTGTCGGCAAGGACGAGTATGATGAACTTGCCTGTAAGTATTTATTGTTTGGATTTATTTCTTTTTAATTATGAAATTAATATATGCAAGGATGGGGAGAAGTCATCACACTTGCCAATGCCAGGAGCGTGGCGCACTATTATGACTCGTATGAGAATATGAGATTAGGGTTCAAAATAAATAGAGAAAAATAATAAGCACATACAATTAATACAGCAATTTAGGAGACTCAGCTTAAAGACTACGTTACGAAGGCAAGGGGGAGATTTCATTATGGAAACTTTACCAGATTGTTGTCCTGAACTCCAAACCCTAGCCTCCTGTTTGTTACGAGCTCTCTTTATTTCTCACAAACTCCCTGAATTGGACTCATTATACTTAGGTCCAATTACATGAGAGAAGTATGGACACTACAACTCTAAACAAGACGGAGACAAAAGGGCCAGTAAAAGAAAAATAAAGAGTGTAGAAAATGCTTCTTTTACTTACAATTGAAGACACCATCAGAAAGGATCTCCACTATGACTTGAATTTATCAAGCCTCGTAAAAAAGCGATCTCTAATGTCTTCTCCACGGAAGTCCCCAAAGGGGCGTATCTCAGCAACTACAAACACCATTGAAGTCCACGTAAATCTTGAACTTGAATACAAAAATACTTTATATCTATTGATATCTGCCATCATAATTTTCTTTACTGCGATAACCCCCAAGGTCATGATGTAATTATTTGATCCTCTCATGAAACATTCAGATTGGTGCTATAGTTGTCAACATACAACAGCTTAATTCTTGTGACAAGTTCATATAACCAGCCAAACCTTCTAACCATATATGGTTCAGTTTGCAGAACTAGGCCATAATAGCAAATTGTGGATCAGTTTGACTACTTCTCTATATCCTGACATTTGGATGCTTATGTGCTCTATTATATCATGGTTTTGCTCAAATGCCATAGCATTTATTTGGCATGGAAGGGTGACCCACTATTTGCTGTGTAAACAGAAGAGATCAAATTTGATTATTTTCTTTCTCAGTGATATGATGGTGCCCTCTTTCCTAATGTGGTATGGTCCTGTTGTGATTGACTAGAGAGTGGCTATTTAGTGGTTGGAGAGGTTCTGATCCCTTTGCATGCTTGTTCCCCTGCTTAATATTTTTCTCTCTTCTAATTTGATATATTTTTCTCTCAAGTGACAGAAGTAATCTTTGTTATAACCTCGGCTGTAAAGGATTTATGTGGGAAGAAACCTCCAACTGAGCGCCGTTTTCTGGATAAGTACGGAAGGTTTTGCTTGTGTCTGGATGAGATTGTTTGGAAGGTGAGGGGATACATCAGCATTTAGGTCAATTTTTGTTTTTGTGTTTTTTTTATTTAGTAATTCCTTCAATCTCAAACTGTAATATTGTTGAATCTCAAGTTCACGAGTTACAATTGAGAGACCATCACCATTCTATGCCACCTATTGATGCAGTAGATAATGTACGTCATCACTCATTAACAACATCTATTGACACGCTGGTCAAACAAGGAAGACTAGTTGTAACAGAAGGTAAGAGACGTCTAGGGCGACCAAAAATATCAGGGGATGAGGTCATTAAATATGACTTTAAAAAGTTAATTATAGTAGGTGAAATGACTTGTAATAGAAAAGATTAGAGAGAGAGATTGACTTGGCTGACCCCGTTCATATGGGATTAAGGCAATGATGATGATGATACTGTCAAACACGACTCTGAGACACCTACAATTGACATTGATCCAGAGTATTTTGTAATATTCACCTTTCCACAGTGTGATAGGGTACAAAGGAGGCATGCTTATTATTTCACTGAAAAAGATGTTATCTAATGCTGACCACTGTTGCCAGACTTTTCACATCCTATGGGTGCAAAGTAACCTTTTTCTATAAAAAGGTGTCCTTCCATAAAGCAGAGTAGTCATAAGATTTTTTGCTTTTCTATGGCCTGATTAGCTAGCGTTTATGTTCCTTTTCGTGACACACTCAGATTATGAAATACCTGACTGTTAAGATCATGTGTTGGCAACGTCTAACCTTTTTTGCAAGCTAGGATTTTTGCTTCCTTGTTTCACATTACATTGTCAAGTGAATATATGTTTATGCAATTTTACCATTTGTTTTGTTTTTTGAAGGGATTGCTGGAGAACACGGACAAAGATAGAATCAAAAGACTTATAAGGTTGAAACCTCCAACTGATGTCTGAACTGGAAAGCTACTCACTTGATCAGATCCATGATGACAGTTTGGCAGCTTGTATAGCATTCATTTCTAATTGCAGGGCATAATAAATCTTCATGAATATACCTTCCGAATAAATAAATAAATAAATAAATCTCCATACATCTCCTTGGAGCTCCCATATGCCTTCCTCACTAATAACAGTTACAATTCAAATATTTTTTGCATATATTTTTGGCGTTGTAATGACTGTTATATTACATTTTTTGAACCTAAAATTTACATGATTCTTTGTTCTTTATCCTGGCATGGCAGGAGATGTCAAATAATATGGTAATTTCTGCCCTTTTGCTTTGTTTTCCTTGTGTTTCCTGGATAATTTGCGTCTCTTATTCTCTTGGGTATGTTGAAGAGAAATACAGGTTTACATGCTTTAGCTGAAATGAGAACATTTGTTATCTTTCAAGAGCACTAGTATTGCCTTCAAGCATAGACAGTATTTTGGGATTACACCCCTTTTGGTTCTGAGTTCAGACATTTACATGAGATTTTTGCTTTATTTTTATTTATTTTTTCAAAATGTTTGTGCTTTTGGTGGCTTTTTTCGTGAACATCTAGGGTTTGTTTGGATGGGCTTTCTGTAGTCTCAAAACGGGTTTTTAAGCCCAGAAAGTCTTTTGTCAATAATAAAGAGACGTTTGGTAAAATTTTAAAAAACGGACTTTAAAAAAGTTTCAGTGGAATAAAACATACTTTCTGATCGACTTTATGCAAGTTAAACACTTTTTTTAAGTAATAAATATAAATTTCCTATATTGTCCATTATTTAACCTATTTCTATTTCTGAATTCCATTGCAAACTTTTTACTTTCTCTTTTTCTTTCTGTATCATCTTCTTCATTCGTTCTCTACTCAAAAATAAAAAATAAAAAATAAATTTTAAAATGTTGAGCAAAATTTCACAAATCTTTACTGAAAAAAATATTTTTGAATAACAATTCAACAAAGGAAAAATAATGACATCGAGGAGTTGCAGGAAAAGTTACTATCGACTCCCATTTAACCTCAAAGCCTAAAAAGTTACAAGATTAATAAACTCTCATCTAAAATTCAACCCTATGTTTGAATTCTAAATAACTTTTCTTTCTCACAATATATATATATATATACACACATACAGATACACACAATATATATATATATGTATATATAATTTTTTTTTTTAAGACTACCGTTCCACTGTTAAAGTAATTTATAGCTATAAACAATATATATTTTTTTTTAAGACTACCGTTCCACTGTTAAAGTAATTTATAGCTATAAACAATATTTTTGTTGCCGTATCTCTCATTTTATTTTCTTTCCTTTTCTTTTTCCACGATCTCTTTCAACTTTTATTAAGGAAAAAAAATCCTTCCATCACGTAGATTGGGTAAATTTCTATACTTTGATCATTACTATGTCAATTAATCATTGATGCATCATAGGCAATTTCACTCCATCACTTTGATTTTTTATTTTTTTCTCCTTCCCCTATTTGTACATCTCAAGTCAACTCTATGCATGTTCATCAATTATTAAGGGTATAATTGTTAAGTTAAATTATGTTGATAATTAAAAGAACTTCAAAAAATTCATCTACCAAACAACTTTTTTGTTTTAAATTCCTTTCATCAAAATGCATTCTCCAAAGTTAATTCAATTAAATTCCTTTCATCAAAATGCATTCTCCAAAGTTAATTCAATGGAAGGAATTTTAAAAACTGGAAGCTCCCCAAACAAGGCCCTAGTCATTTGGATTATTTGATGTACTCGCATTGTTTCTAATAATCAAGGTGGACGGTGCCAATGCAAACTTAACTTTTGTCAATATTTTCAAAAAATAGTTTGTTTTCAGAACTCAGAATTCGAACATAAATTCCCACATTTAACAATGCAAGTATGAATTCAGACCATTTATTTTCTTTTTCCGACAATGTTTTTGTTCTTTTTACATGTATAGGTGTGTGTGTGTATATATATATAGTAAATAATATTTTTTTAAAAAAAATGTCACTTGGTTTGTGGCTTTGTGTAAGGGGTGAGCCAGCATATCCCGAACTCATAACGTCCTCGTTGCGGTTAGGCCATGGACGTCTTTCAGGCCGGGCGTTTGGTATTGCACCGGATTTAGTTTTAATAGCAACTGTAACGGTGGGCGCTAGCTCATTTACCGAAAAACTTAAGCTGTTAGGTAATACTATATATTCATCCATTTATATCTAATTATTCTTTCAACCGAATCTAATGTGGGACAAATATACCCTTGTAACAACTCGTGTGTTTGGGGTGTATCTTGTATGCAGTTCAAAAATGCTACTTCCTGGAACTTTCTGAGTTTACATGTCGGCACTTCACTTTGAGAGGTCATAAGCAAATTTGTCCCTACTACCAGCCCCTTAAATGATTGCTTTGCTAAAAAAATATGGTAGATCCAAATCATTGCTTATTACGTTTTAGGAAAATTAAAAGGCCAATTAGTCGTGAGTTTCACATGAGTAAAGGAAAAATAAAAAGTTGTCAACACCTGATTAGTCCGATGTCCGGCATAAACAGTGTCTCTCCCTCAGCTATCGACAAGTCTATTATTACTCTATTTTTTTAAATACTTTTAATTGAATTTTTATCTTGAATTTTTAATTTCTTAATATTCCAATTTTATTGGAATTAGAACAATAAACCCGTTTAAAGTGTTTGGTTTGGTTGCTTCAAAAATGAAAATTACACTTTGTGATATAGAAACTTGAGTATTTTGAAAAATAAATCTTAGATAAATTTAATCGATGGATATGGCTTAACTAAAAAATTTTAGTAAAGAGCAACGTTTTGAAACACTCACACCACCTCATTGAAAAAGCAAATTATATGTTTTTTTTTTAATTTAAAAAAAATAACTAAATGAGTTCGTATACAATTTTTTACTCTTCGCATTTTTCTTAAAGAAGTCTTGCACTCCATTTTAGAAAACTTATCATGCCAGTTTCTTTACTAAAGAAATCAAATGGATATAAATATTACAACCCTTTTCAAATTGATTTTTCTGTTTTCAATAAGTAAAATTAATTTTATAAATATTGGAGTAAATATATACATGCAAAAATCTATGAAATACAAACACTTGTCCTATTGGTGTCGCATTCATTCGGATATCGACACTCGTTAGACACTCTTCGGACACGTGTCGGTAAATAAAAATAAAAATTTATTATTTTGAACACTTTTTCGACACTTTCAAATACTTCGCCTACACTTCTTGTACACTTAAGCCAATATTTTGAAACATTTCTTACACAAGATAATCTTGAAAATAATATGAACACATTCTAAAGTGTTCAACTTTTTACTTTAAGAAAAATTAACATTATACATATATGATAAGAAACGAAACATTAAATAATATTTATTCATTTGAAATAAAAACACTATTACGACAAAGTAGTGGAATAATTGCTGTATATATGATATAAAAATCCTTGCAACTCTTAGTATAAAAATTAGAAATGAATTAAAATTTTATAACACTATTACTCAATTATATAATAAAAATTTATATTTATATATAGTAGTTTCCAAACCATATCAGTGTCTTATTTTTTAAAAACATATTTGTATCGTATCCCGTGTCTGTTCTTACATTGGCAAAAACTAATCACAGTTATGGGCTCAGGCCCAATTGACCACAAATGAACAAGGCCCAGAGCTAAGCTAACAAATCTTTGTGGCTTTGTTTGGGGGAGCTTCCAATTTTTAAAATTCCTTCCATTGAATTGGGTTTGGAGAATGCATTTTGATGAAAGGAATTTAAAACAAAAAAGTTGTTTAGTAGATGAATTTTTTGAAGTTCTTTTAATTATCAATATAATTTAACTTGGCAATTATACCCTTAATAATTCATGAACAATATAGCATAGAGTTGCTTTGAGATGTACAAATAGGGGAAGGAAAAAAAAAAAAAAAAAATTAAAGTGATGGAGTGAAATTGCCTATGCTACATCAATGATTAATTGACATAGTGATGATCAAGGTATACAAATTTACCCAATCTACATGATAATTTTTTTTTTTTTTTTTCCCTTAATAAAAGTTGAAAGAGATCGTGGAAAAAGAAAAGGAAAGAAAAATAAAATGAAAGAGAGAGAGATGGCAACATAGCTATAAATTACTTTAACAGTGGAACGGTAGCCTTAAAAAAAAAAAATTATATATATATATTGTGTGTGTGTGTATATATATATATATCTATATCTATATCTATACTATTATTAAATGTGCAAAGTGTTTCAGTATTTCAGTAATTATTTTTTAATATAAAAAAATCTTTATTAATTGATATAAAACTCTAAAAATTACTTAATAAAGTTCCAATTACCTAATAAAATTCAAATTACAAATTACCTAATAAATCTATACTATTATTAAAAGAGTTTTTATAAAATAAAATAAAATCTAATTAGACAAGAATAAGTTTATCACAAATTACTTATTTTATTTTCAATAAAACTCTATCACATTAGACAAAGATATACTTAAAGAGTTTCTATAAAGCTCTAACACAAATTATCTATTTATCTATTTATTATGAGTTTTTAATAAAAGGAAATCTAATTATACGAGTATTATTAATATAAAAATTATTTATATTATTTATTAATTGATATAATAAAAGAAAATCTAATTAGAGAAGGATATATTTGAAGAAAATAAAATAATTTATATAAAACTTTACCACAAATTATCTATTTTATTTTCAATAAAACTCTATCACATTAGACAAAGATATATTTAAAGAAATAAAGATATAAAACTCTAAAAATTACTTAATAAAATTTCAATTACCTAATAAAATTCAAATTACAAATTACCTAACAAATCTATACTATTATTAAAAGAGTTTTTATAAAATAAAATAAAATCTAATTAGACAAGAATAAGTCTACCACAAATTACTTATTTTATTTTCAAAAAAATTCTATCACATTAGACAAAGATATACTTAAAGAGTTTCTATAAAACTCTAACACAAATTACCTATTTATCTATTTATTATGAGTTTTTAATAAAAGGAAATCTAATTATACGAGTATTATTAATATAAAAATTATTTATATTATGTATTAATTGATATAATAAAAGAAAATCTAATTAGAGAAGGATATATTTGAAGAAAATAAAATAATTTATATAAAACTTTACCACAAATTATCTATTTTATTTTCAATAAAACTCTATCACATTAGATAAAAATATATTTAAAGAGTTTAAACCTAATAAATCTATACTATTATTAAAAGAGTTTCTATAAAATAAAATAAAATCTAATTAGACAAGAATAAGTCTACCACAAATTACTTATTTTATTTTCAATAAAACTTTATTACATTAGACAAAAATATATTTAAAGAGTTTCTATAAAACTCTAACACAAATTACCTATTTATTTATTTATTATGAGTTTTTAATAAATGGAAATCCAATTATACGAGTATTATTAATATAAAAAAATATTTATTTTATTTATTAATTGATATAATAAAAGAAAATCTAATTAGAGAAGGATATATATGAAGAAAATAAAATAATTTATATAAAACTCTATCACAAATTATCTATTTTATTTTCAATAAAACTCTGCACATTAGATAAAGATATATTTAAAGAGTTTCTATAAAACTTTACACAAATTACCAATTTATCTATTTATTATGAGTTTTTTTAATAAAAGGAAATCTAATTATACGAGTATTATTAATATATATTTAGACAAAGATATACTTAAAGAGTTTCTATAAAATTCTAACACAAATTATCGAGCACATGTCATCAATCTTATAAATAGAGGCCTAGAGGAAGGAGGAAAGGACACAGAAATTAAGAATTATAGAACTAGAATATCAAATCATCTGTGATGCGGAAGAACTCTATGTTATTCTTAATACAATTGAGTTGTGTATGGTTGTGATTTGTATTATTGGATTTTGATATGTGTTGTTTCATCATGCAGGTTTGAGTTTTGTATGGTTGTGATTTGTATTATTGGATTTTGAGATGGATTGTTGACAATCCAAAATATGGATTGCCATTCTTCCAAACTTTTGAGATCAAAACTGTGAACGAGTGACGAGGCTGAAGTGAGATAATTGTCTTTCTGTACGAAGCCTCCTATTGATTGATCATAGACCTTTGATTATCAAAGGGAAGGGGGCTGGTTAGAGGCACAGTCTATTTCAACAAAGCCACAATTAAGGCTGTATAAGAGCCTTTCCATCCAAGTGCTTGGTAAACTTTACTCTTCCTATTTGCTATCACGAAGTGCTTGGCCGGCCAACCCTTTCTACTTAACTGGTTATGAATTTTGCAAATTTTGCACATGCTATTACCATTTACTACTTTGTTGTAGATATGCTCTATATGTAGATTTTAGTGTATTTGCAATTTTTCCAATTAAATTGAACTTTGCTTATAAAAAATTTACATCATTCATAGACTCACACTATTCCTTTTTCTTAACAAAGAAAAAATATTTCTATCAAGCAAGGTGTAGTTATAATGCACTTACAACATTCACCCCATTCACTTACATGTGTCTTTTCACTTTCAAATTACCTAATAAAATTTAAATTACTATAAAACAATAAAATATTTATTAATTAGTATAAAAAATCTATATTATTATTAAAAGAGTTTCATAGTATTATTAAATGTGCAAAGAGTTTTTCACTATTTAAAAAAAAAAAATTATTAATTGATATAAAATTCTAAAAATTATCTAATAAAATTCAAATTACCTATTTATCTATTTCTTTCTAAAAAAAATTACCTAATAAAAAAATCACCAATTTCAAATTACCTAATAAAATTCAAATTACAAATTACCTAATAAATCTATACTAGTGTTAAAAGAGTTACCTATTTATCTATTGGTTTCTAAAAAAATTACCTGATTAAATATATCACCACTTTCAAATTACCTAATAAATTTATACTATTTTTAAAAGAGTTTATATAAAAATGTAACAACAAAATATAAAAAAATATTTATTAATTAATATAAAAATAGTTTTTATAAAACTCTAAAAATTACCTAAAAATATAAATCACCATTTTCAAATTACATAATATACAAATTACCTAATAAATCTATACTATTATTAAAAGAGTTTCTATGTAACACAAAATATTAAAAATATTTATTAATTAATATAAAAATAGTTTTTAAGAGTTTTATAATATTTATTAATTAATATAAAAATAGTTTATATAAAAAGAGTTATTTATTAATTAATATAAAAATAATTTTTATAAAAATCTAAAAATTACCGAATAAAATAAATCACCACTTTCAAATTACCGGACAAAATTCAAATTACAAATTATAAAACTGTAACACAAAATATAAAAAAATATTTATTAATTAATATAAAAATAGTTTTATAAAAAGAATTTCTATAAAATTCTAAAATTTACTTATTGAAATCAATAACCACTTTCAAATTACCTAATAAAATTCAAATTACAAATTGCCTAATAAAATTCAAATTACAAAAATAGTTTTAATAAGAAGAGTTTCTATAAAACTATAAAATATTTATTAATTAATATAAAAATAGTTTTTATAAAAATAGTTTCTATAAAACTCTAAAAATTATATAAAAAAAACATTTATTAATTAATAGAAAAAGAGTTTTTATAAAAAGAGTTTCTAGAAAACTCTAAAAATTACCTGATAAAATCGATCGCCACTTTCAAATTAGCTAATAAAATTCAAATTACAAATTAAAAATTACCTAATAAATCTATACTATTATTAAAAGAGTTTCTATAAAACTCTAACACAAAATATAAAAAAATATCACTACTTTCAAATTACCTAATAAAATTTAAATTAAAAATTACCTAATAAAATTCAAATTACAAAAAGAGTTTTTATAAAAAGAGTTTCTATAAAACTATAAAATATTTATTAATTAGTATAAAAAAATCTATACTATTATTAAAAGAGTTTCTATAAAACTCTAACATAAATTACAAAAAAAATATTTATTAATTAATATAAAAATATTTTTATAAAAATAGTTTCTATGAAATATTTATAAATTATTTTTTAATATCACTATAACAGAGTTTCTATAAAAATAGTTTCTATAAAACTCTAAAAATTACCAAATAAAATCAATCACCATTTTCAAATTACCTAATAAAATTCAAATTGCAAATTATCTAATAAATCTAATTTCTATAAAACTCTAATAAAATTTAAATTACAAAGACAGTTTTTATAAATTTGTTTCTGTAAAACTATAAAATAATTATTAATTAATATAAAATATCTATTAATTAATATAAAAAGAGTTTTTATAAAACTTTAAAAACTAGCTAATAAAATCAATCACCACTTTTAAATTACCTAATAAAATTCAATTAAAAATTAGCTAATAAATCTATACTATTATTAAAAGGGTTTCAATAAAATTCTAACACAAAATATATAAAAAAATATCACCATTTTAAATTACCTAATAAAATTCAAACTACAAAAATAGTTTTTATAAAAAGAGTTTCTATAAAACTATAAAATATTTATTAATTAGTATAAAAAAATCTATACTATTATTAAAAGAGTTTCTATAAAACTTTAACACAAAAAAAAAAAAAAAAAATAATAATAATAATAATAATTAATTAATATAAAAAGAGTTTCTATAAAACTATAAAATATTTATTTTTTAATATAAAATATTTATTAATTGACATAAAAAGAGTTTTTATATATAGGGTTTATGAAAATAGTTTTTATAAAATTCTAAAAATTACGTAATAAAATTAATCACCATTTTCGAATTACCTAATAAACTTCAAATTACAAGTTACCTAATAAATCTATTTTTTATAAAATTCTAACGCATAGGATTTTCTAATATATCATACTTAGATGATTAATCACTTAGATGATTAATCCATCAATGGAAAACTTTATTTTGTTTCTTTTGAGGTGACTATTATTACTCTTTAAACATTGTTGATATGAATTTATTTAATATATGACAATATCATATAATGAAAACTATAAATAATTAAAAATATATATGAACAAAAAAATTCCATAAGTTACAAAATATTCACCACGTGCAACGCACGTGCCTTTTCCTAGTGTATATATATATGGTGAGAAAGAAAAGTTATTTAGAATTCTACATAGAGTTGAATTTTAGATGAGAGTTCATTAATCCTGTAACTCTTTAGGCTTTGAAGTTAAATGAGAGTTGATAGTAATTTTTCCTGCAACTCCTTGATGTCATTATTTTTCCTTTGTTGAATCGTTTTTCAAAAATATTTTTTTTAGTAAAGATAAATTTTGCTCAATATTTTAAATTTTATTTTTTATTTTTGGGTAAAGAACGAATGAAGAAAATGATACAGAAAGAGAAAGAGAAAAGTGCAATGCAATTCAGAAATAGAAATAGAAATAGGTTAAATAATGGACAACATAGAATTTTTATATTTATTATTAAAAAAAGTGTGTAATTTGCAAAAAGTCAATTAAGAAACATGTTTTATTAGCTTTAATCAATTGGGTTTCTAAACCACTAAAACTTTTTAAAAATTCGTTTTTAAAAATTTTACCAAACGTTGTTTATTATTAACAAGAGACTTTCTAGACTTAAAGCCTATTTTGAGATTACAAAAAGCCCACCCAAACAGACCAGCACAAATGCAAGCTTTTGCATAGCAAAAGCAAAGGCTGTGTACGTAGTCACTTATTACCACACTATGAAAAAGACTATTTTGGCCCCTTCTTTGTCCGAATGCTCTTAATAGATCATTAATATATGTGGATCAGAAGACCACCTTCCCATTCAATCTGTGTGACGAGTCAAAGAGGGGTTTTGGTGAAAATGAAGAGAGCACTGAGTTTTCTGATCTTCTTTGCCATCTTCTTCAACTCCTCACAAGCCCGATCCATCATTCCACAGCCCCAACCTCTCACATCCTTTAACATCAACACTACCCAGGTACTAGATTTACTTTCAAATATATTATCTAGAAAAGAAAAAAAAACACAGTTCGTGATCGATTTATGTGAACTTATATATATATATATGTATGTTTGTATCAACTAGTTATTTGAAAGTAATTATATTGACCCTATAATTTCTTTTGGTTTATAGAATGCAAGGAGTTGTTCTTTCACCGTGAACATAAGAACAAGCTGCTCTTCACCAAGGTACACACGAGATCAAATCAGTCTCTCATTTGGCGATGCTTATGGCAATCAGGTTAGTATTTTACATATAAATCTCTAATTTATTCATGACTGTTAAATGGGTATTCATTGATTTACTTGAAATTGGAATATTATTGTTTGAACAATAATGACAAGAATCAATTGGAGCATTAGTATCACAAACGCGATCAATATATAACAATATTGTTATATATAACAATGTAAATCTATAAATCTCTGAGTAGTTGATGATTTAAGACCAACCCATTTGAGAAAATTGGATTCTGATAATTGGGTATTCATTTGATTTGCTTAAAATTGAAGTACTATTGTTTGGATGATTGATTATCACAAGAATCAAGTTAGTACCACAAGCTGAATCAATATGTAACAATATATGTGTATGCAACTATTTATATATATAAATCTCTAATTAGTTGATGATTTAAGACCAACCCATTTGAGAAAATTGTATTCTGATAAATGGGTATTCATAGATTTACTTAAAATTGGAGTATTATTGTTTGGATAATTAATTATCACAAGAATCAGTATATAACAATGTGTGTATGTAACTATGTATATATATAAATGGATATCTAATTAATTGATGATTTAAGATCAATCCAATTGAGAAAATTGTATTATGAGAAATGGATGTTGTTGGTTATATATGTGATTAGGTTTATGCACCGAGGCTAGACGATCCAGGTTCGAGGACATTCGAGAGGTGTTCGGTGGACACGTTTCAAGTATACGGACCGTGTACGTACCAGATATGCTATTTGTATTTGTACAGGAGTGGATACGATGGTTGGAAACCAGAGTCTGTGCAGGTCTCTGGGTATAATACCAAGCCTGCTAGCTTTTATTACAACGTTTTTATACCAACTAATATTTGGTATGGCTTTAACTACTGTAATGCTGCCTCGGCTTCCACATCAACCATGAAGTAGGGTAGGGCACCACTTTTTCATGCGTCGGTTTATAATTGAGCTCGTGACCTCTTTTTGCTTGATGGAGATTGGAGGACTATGAGTAGAAAGTTTTTGGTGCACCATGATAAATTTTATCTTGTCTTCTAAGTAATAATGTATTTATTTCAGTGGGTTTTTTCAGCATTTAATTAATTGGATACTATGTCCTATAATTTCAGCATTTAAATAATTGGATGTATGTCATTGTGTTATGATATACCTAGATACCCGGTGGGTTAGTAAATTATTGTGTTATGATGCTTCAATACTCAGTGGATTAGTAAATTATTGTGTTATGATGCATATGCTAATTTAACTTCTACCACTTGTTAAAAAAAAAAATTCCTTTTATTTTTTTATTTGATTATTTTTTTTTCAAGAGAAAATGCATGACTAGGAAACAATGAAGTTCACTTAAGTCCAATTCCACTTCCACCTCATGTTTTTGAAACCTAACTGTGAATTTGAATAGGTAGGAGGAAACTGAGTGCGTTAAGATTGGAGGGATAAATTAGATGGTGTCAGTAGCATATTCATATTATCTGTGCAAAATGACACACTCATATTTGGTGATGCGCTTGTGGCTCCGTGGAAGGGTTCTTCTCCGGGGTTTGAGGAGCCCGTGTTCGATCCCCATTCCGACATCTCCCCTCTAACTCCTAACACCACTAACATTGTCAGGATGTGCATTCTTATATTAACATTACAAATTTTCATCATCGAGGATGGTTCTGTATAGAAATTCTTCTTGTAATAACCACATAAGAAAAACAGTTTGTACAGAAAAGTGGATCTTTTGCTAAACAGTTTTGGACGGGAATGAGGAAGGGGACTACTCCAAGCCTGCTCTATTGTCATCTCTAATCACGACCAAAGAAAGAAAGAAATTAACAGAACAGTTTGGTAACTGTATTGAACTTTAAATTTAAGACCAATTCAAACCCATTTTTCAATCTTAGCTCTTAGATCCAATCCGATCCATGCTCAAATTTCACTTCGGGTATTCGTGTTGAAGTTGGATTTGACTTGGGTGTTGAGTCATCCGAATCTGGGTAGAATTCGCTAAAGTTCAGTTTGGTTACTGCAAAAAGACATCTCTGGGTAATGCAAGGGTGCAACTATTGCTTTTGTCATTCCCATCACATTACATTTAGATGCTGCATATCTAGATCTGGCTTGGGGTGGAAACTCCAGGTCTGCCATACCTTTGTTCTAGTCCCTTGAGCATATAAGTGTGTAATTATTGGAAAGTAAAATATTTTTCAGAATTTTTTTATTTTTATTTTTTAGTGTTTGCTTGTCGTAAAATGTTTATAACAAAAAAAATAATAATAATAAGATTTAACAAAAATAACTTATCCATCAATTTTCGACAAGCCCGATGGACTCGACCTCAACCTCGACGTAGACCTTTACCAAACACTAACAGTAAAAATAAAAAAATATTTTTCCTTAAAAAAAAAAAAAATTTCCAAAAAGAATATTTTATGAAACAAACAGAGCCTAAGTCAACTTAGTAACAACATTTACATCTTGATATTCAGGAAGTTATGGTGCCCCAACAATGTAATTTAATTTAAACACAGAAATAAACAAATAAATATCAAAAGATCCTCGTGTGCTAGGAAAGCCGAAAGACACTCATTTCAAGTACCTTGAATAAAGAGAACTGGATTGCTGGATGCATCTAGCTTCATCCGATCTCTGGACTTCCCAGCTGCCAAAACATATGCGGGTGAAATAAATTAGAACTCTGAAAAAATGGCTAGGGTAATTCTTCTTTCTTCTACAAGGGATCCTTGTGCGTTGCATCCCCAAAAGGTTAATGGCGACATAACTGGACACCTAAAAATCATAATTTGAAGTCACAAAAGCATTCGGGCAAAGCAGACCCTCTCCCCATCACAAAATCATCTCTATGTGCCTTCCATAGGGCTTCCATCATCTCTCTCCCTCTCAAACCCTTGGAAGTGAACTCTGCGAAAGCCCTCCTGCTTAAGAAAAGAGTTTTGAATAACCCCTTAAATGCCCGCATTGCTGCTACCATTTTATCCATGTTCCCAAAGTATGTAGCCATATATGAATCACTATTGATCGATACAAAATAATCCAATGCAGCTTTGGTGTTTCCATGCATGCTTGTGAAATCCTCATGGTTAAGAAGTGTAGACTTGGTAAAAACATTGGTGTAAACAGAGGTAAACCCATTGAGTTCCATCAGGCCATCCCCAGCAGCCAAATAAATATTTGTGTTTCTTGGGATATTAAGAGCTTGAAGTATGATAGCAGTCTCATTAGGAGTGAGGGGGCATTTTCCACGGTTTCTCCACACCTGGGCTGCTTCTCCGGTCCAGGGTTTTCTATCTCCTCGTGCAGCCTCTATAGCTTCCATGGAGGCAGGAGAAAGGCCGGTGTACTCACACTGACTGTAAGCTACCATGTCAGGTTCAAACCGAAGATGAAGTGAGAGAAAGGGTTTGGGTATGGCTTGCAGAAGCTCAGAGCCTTTCTTCTCCAAGGCACCTTTAAGGCGTAGTGCATTATAACAAGCTTGACAAAGGGCTGCCTTTGCATACAGAGGATACCTGCAGAGTTGGAACAGTAAAACTAGGTTTTAAAGAACATCAAAGAAGAATCATCAGGTAATTAGAATAACATTACATAAAAAGAAGAAACAGCTTCTCTTCTATCAAGAGGAAGAAAGGGAAAAAAGAAAAAGAAAAAAAGTTGCAAATCAGGGAATAGCTGCTTCTCTGCCACTATAGACTAAATTATAGAAAGCAGTTCATGTTTAGGTTCTAAGCCAACAGAGAAAAGCAGTAGCAAGGATAGATATTCAAACTGATGTCTTGTTAAACATTTGGAGGAACATAAAGTTATCTTTAATTGACCAGAGAGAGAAAAAGAGAGATTCTTTAAGACTAATAGACCCAGAAAACCAACTCTAAAAAGTACTTAACTAACCCAACACGGTCATTAGTATTTCAACCGAGTCATTGAATTAAGACAGAAAATTGTCTCCACTTAATTAAAAGAATTCCTCAAAACACAACAAGAAACTTTTTATGAAATCAAAATGCAAAATAAACAGCATTGTACCTGTCCCTCCTTTGGCTCATTGCGGGTGTGATTGAAATATAATGATGCTCCAGTAGGGAAGGAAGGACAGTTTCAATGTAATCAAATTGGCCCTTGCGTTTGCTGCAGTCCACTCGGAAAGGCTCCTTTGACGCAAGCTCTGCTGGTAAGTTTTTAACAACTTTAACAAAACCTTTCATCTGCTGAATGAAGTAGTCCACATCAAATACATCTGCAAAGCCACTGTGTCAAAGCTAAAGAGTTATGCTAAAATGCTGATTGTATAGAATAGTAAAAAATAATGGGACAGGGAGAAAAAAAGTATGTATCTTACACTCACCGGGACAGAAAGAAAGAAAGAAAAAGACGAAAAGAAAGAAAGAATGCAAAAAACTGAATTAATAAGTTAAATCATGGGTCGTTAATGTGAGAAGAAGTAATATTTGTTGGGGAAGGCAAATACAAGTATTAAACATCTCTCCTATAACTCCACCGTCTTCCTCTCGTCAAGTTCCCCTAGTCTAAAGAAAGTATAAGGGAGCTTAAAAAAGACATTCTCTATAGAGCGAGTAGTATATAATGTTCCAGAAATCACGTGAAGAACTGAAGTTCACTGCTCACATTCCAATTGACTGAAAAAGGCCATGGTATTTCAGTTTTCAATGATGATACAGAGACAGTCTATCCATGTCAACACAAACACACAGAATCCAAAGTTCCATCTTCCAAACATTAAGGCAAGGGGACTCGGCCATCTACTGCATGATATGTATTTCTGTTTGCGTGGAAATATCCTTATATCTTCACACATCAAGAATATCTTTGCTAAATATTTGGACGTGTTGTTTTCATGTTTTCCGTGTCTTTCTTTCATCTAAATTGGTATGGAAAACAAGTTAAAGTGAACATTTGTTTCTTCATAGCAAGGGTGAGGATGAGAAGATTTTGTGCAATATGAAAAATTAGAGAGACTGTTTAAAGTTCAGGATTTGCTTTACAGCAATGAGCAACAAACCGAAAGTAGTGTCTGTCCATTGTAATCTTCCTATAAGTCAATTTATTATGTATCAACATGAGGCCCATGCCCCAACATATTTATAAGAAGTTATAGGTTACAAACTGACACTTGATGATGCGAATTAAATCATTTTCAATTTGCTAGGGTGATTTATGCAATCTTAGACCTATTGGGATTTTCCTGCTCAACATCCTTGAATTAATACCTTAGCATTCTGCAGGTGCTTAAGAACTATATATGCTTTTTATGAACTTTTACAATATACTTTTTACAAGGTCGAGATTCATCAAAGAAAGGCTCTTCTAATCTCCCAAAAAATATGGAAGTTTATTGAAGAAAAAAATCATCATCGACCTTAATAAATCTAATTGGGTTCTTGCTTCAAAGGAGTTAAAATAATAACCAAGATATTAAGCCAGTAATATGTAATTGCTAAATAACCTCCCTATGCTATATGAATCCATCAAAGTGAAGTTCTCAAATAAAAGTAACTTCAAGCTAAAGGTGTCTTCCAGCTACGGAAACTGCCATGAAATTTCTGTTTTGTATAATCACAGAACAAAACATCAAAGATTGGACAGGTAACAATTCTAGAAAACTGCTATCAACAGCAGTAGCTACATCTTTGCAGATATCAGAATGTAGAAAATCAGATTAACTGTATCATTTTTTGCTTCCAATCCATTAACTTTTAAGATCTATGTTGTTACTAACGTTTAACTTGCCCTCCAAACTTGATACATTCTCCAACCAAATTCCTTCGGACACGCCAATCCTCAAAACTACAAATTCCATCCAGCAATATAAATTAATGCAATGTATTTATCGGTTCACGAACAATGTCTGAAATAAAAAATTTAAACAAATGAAGATGTTAAGGGCTTGCCGCACATTTGATTGGTTAAGTTTCCTCATGGCCTATCACACTATCAGCACTCGATTTTGTAGTCTAGTGCTGAACAATTGCAGCAATCTAAGTTACCTGAACTCAGGTACTACCGTACTGGTATTCGGTAAGAGCATGTGTCAGTGTGTCAGGCACCCATAATCGCAAATTTTAGGACACGGGGACTCGGCCTGAGAGGCTGAGACGTGTCCAAAACTTGGATACGGGTACATAAACACATTTTACATACGTAAAAAACTTAATGTGCTACTTAAAAATGTAATGTATGACACTATTATTTTTTAAAATTCTTAATAATAATTTACATTGAATGAAAACTAAATGGAATATGGTTAAAAAAAAAAAAGAGAGATTCCACCTATCTCATAATTAGAGAACTCGGCTTCACTTTCAAATTTGAGTAATCTTTCTTCGGTAATCATAGTAAGAGGATCTAGGTGTCCATTTTGGGTACATGCATTGGACACATATTTCATATCCATGTCCATGTCGTGTCAACACCGGTATGTTGAGGGAACAAGAGAGTCCAGGTAAAGATAGGCAGCAATATATCAATTCAATACCACATTACCAATAATGACTTTCATCTTTCAAACTACCAAGTAATATTCAACTTTCAGCATTAATCCATTATTTTGCTGCCAAAGGAAAAAAGAGAAATTTCATCGATTGAAACTTATACAAACCTATAGTTTGATGTAAGGTAAGTAACTAATATAAAAGTAGGTCATTTTATTAACTTCAAAATGATAACATATAGAAAGTTCAAACATTCATTCATAGCCGTAAATTACCTTGATTCATTCCAATATGCAGCCACTTCAAACTTCGGCAAAACAAGAGTTGCATTTAGCAACCGGGTAATACCAACACCATCACACAGCTGCAGTCATCACAAAACAACCAACAACCTTTATCACAAGCTTCGAAGAGTTAAAATTTAAAAATGAAGCATTCACAGAAATACTACGAAGCACTCACATCCCTTCTCATCTGATTAAGCCCACCATAGCAATCCACTCGAATATACCCGTTACTCTCTACCGGCAAAGCTGCAGCATTTCAACACAAAAAAAAAAAAAAAAACCAAATGCAATTGTCTGCATTGGAAGCCAGACAAGACTGACTCAGAAATATCATAATAATATCAATCACAAACCTAATCCAACTCTTACCCAAACCCAAATATCTAACAAATTCCCAAGATAAATCCTATCCTTAATATTCCAGCAAACGCATGAACCCGAAATTATCTTGCCGTATAATTCTGTAGTTCCCAAACACCATAGAGCTATTTCTTAAACTTCCCAAATTAATCCAAAATAAGTATAGAATGAAAACTCACTACTACCTATTTCCATTTCACATATTACATTTCCTTTCCTACTCTTTTAGAATTGGTATTTTCTAGACCAAATCCTGCTTACAAATAATTTCTATTCTGAACAATTGAATTTTGACTCCTTACTGTTTAAGCAGGTCAAGAATTGTCAAAAGTAAAGAATAAAAAATAAACAAAAAATCCGCTAACCTGCTGGATCTCCTTGAAGCCACCATTTGCAAGGTCGCCAATCTACAATCCTGCGAATACTCCATATATCCAATTCCTCACTGCGCGTGGCAGATCTGAATTGTTCATAAATTTCAATAGAAAAAAAAAAAGAAAAAAAAGAAAAATGAAAAAATGAAAACCATATTAAAAGACTGCTTTGGTAGGAAATTTAAGCAAAAGCTAAATAAATCAAAAAAGGATATTATTGAATTACTGAGAAAGATAGGGAAGTGTATACGTACCTTGAAGATCTAGATAAAACAGAGCTTTCAGAGAATGGTGAAGAAGGGGATAACAAGATCAGGGCAAGGAGGAGAGAGGTGACCGCCACAAAGACACCAAACAAGGGTTTCTTTGCGCTTAATCCTACTATTCCTTTCATAAGTAAATTATTCAATACACTGCTCACAATTCGATATTGGATTACATGAAATCAAAAGGAGTGTGAATAAAATTGATTCCAGGTTAGGGTTTGTGTGAAGATTGGAAAATCTTGTGTGAAAGGGTTTTGTTTCACACCGACAATTCAATCATCAGATTAGTGAGAGAAAGTGAAAACTGTGTAAAATAAATACATGCAAATATAGATCTATATTTCTTTGTATATAGAGGTTGATATAAGATCTCTACAGCTGCACATCATATACAAGAAACTGGGACGGTTGTGAATCTTAAAAGTGGACCGGACTGGATTTGAACCGGCTTATCACCTTCAAACTATGTACCACGCGAACACGACAAGGACGGGTATCGCGTGAACACTGCTCTATATATAAATATAAAATTTTATTTTTATACATTTATTCAGTAATAATATTATAAAATTTTAATTTATTTATAATTTTTATAATTATAGTTGTTATAAAATGAATTAGAAAATAAAATAATGTCATTATTATAATAATTTTTATATCCTATATACATGTATATCATTATTTCACTATTACTGGATAAATTTGAGTTAGAAATGTCCAGGAAGTATGACGAAGTGTCTAAAAAGTGTCGACTTAGTGTCCAAAATAATAAAATTAATTTTTATTTATGGACATGCATATAAAGTGTCGAACACATATTTAAGAAGTGTTGATATTCGATATGGGTACGACTCTTTCAGAGAAATATCTGTTTTTCCCATCTTTCAATTAAGATATTGGGTAGGATCCGACTTGATGGGCCTAACTAGAACAATGGAGTCTCGTCCCAAATGTAGGACGTGGGTAAAGGAGTATTTAAGATTATGAAATGGGATTCAAAATTATTTTAGATAGGATACAAAAGTTTTACTAAGAAAATAGATATGATTTGGACAAAAAAAAATTTAATAATAAAGTAATTACCGTAACTTAAAATTAAATTATTTTTTTTTTATAATTTTTATATTTTTAAAGTTATATGTTATTTATGTAAAATTAGATGATTTGTAGTTCATTGCTATGGTATTAATCTAACTTTGACGCGTTTGCTTAAAAATTTATAATAATTGAATTTTTATTTTTTTGTTTCAGAAAAAAAAAAATAAAGAATATAAAATTTTGAAACATATAATCATACTTACATTGAACGGTCGAAACATTTTTTTTTATTATAACAAGTATTACTATGAAATCATATTACATATAATTTGTTTGGTTAATTTTTGTTCCCTGATATAAGTGATTTGTTTAATATATGTAGATATATACTTTTGCATTTTATTTTTTATAATGTTTATGTATTAGCAAGTTATTAAAATATAGAGTAATCAGATAAATTTGAAAAACCTGTTATGACGGGTAGAGATGCATGTCATAGTTGGATTTAGACTTGCCTACTCACCGATGAGTAAGTTAGAAAAGTGATAAATATGGATAAATTTTTTTGGAAATAAATTTAGTCACCCTCATTTCCTTGTTCATCACTTTTTCTGATTTTGTAATTACTAACTATTTATGCATTTGAAATTAGACTATATTAGCGGTGAGTAGAGATGACCAACAAGTCTTGTCCCTTAGACTTTGCGAAAAGTAAAATATTAAAATCCTCGTTTGTTAATGTTTTTATTTTTTATTTCTTGTCTCTAAAAGACCAAAAAACTGAAATAGGTAAGATAAATATGTTTGGTAAGGTTATTTATATATTTTTAATTTAGGAACATGTTCCTTAAAAGGCTAATTTCTAGAAATAATAATAATAAAAAAAAAAAAAGAAGTTGGGCATGCTTGGTTTGTAATTATGAAAACAGTTCTCAAGAATTCAGGGAACAGAAAACAGTTTTTAGATAACAAAAAAAAAAAAAAAATACAATTATCTGAAAACTGACCTTTTTATAGTTGAGTTTTAAACTAAACTGAATCAAACATAATTTTCTGAAAATAGAAAACTGTTCTCATTTTAACAAACCAAGCAAACCAATTATTTCCACTTGTTTTTAATCAAAACACAGGAAACATATTCCCGACTTATTCTCAACTTATATGTTTCTTATTCACGACTCCAATCTCAAGAAGTCTCTTCATCACTCACACACTTTTCTTATTCACCTAATGTAACCCCAGTCTAAACTCTATCTTCATCGACGACAACTCCCAAGTTTGTCTCTCTCTTATGATTCACGTTCAATTTTGAATCATTAAAAATGAAATTTTGTTAATTTGATCAGTAATTGTTGCAATAGTTAGCTTGAAGTTTTAATTCTGATAGAAGATTGAGACTTCAACATAATGATTGCATATGTTAAATGTATTTGTTCATTGCCAAACGCTTTTCTTGTTTGATGTTTACAAAATTCAAGGAACAGATAAATTTTACCAAACATTGATTCTGATTTGAGCAAAAACATATAAAAACAGAAATCAGTAGAAATAAGAATAAAAAATGAGGAACATATAAACAAAAACGTTACCAAATGACAGTTTTAAAGTGACTAACCCCATTGCATGCCCAATATATATATACATTATCATTAACATACGCTAATAATTAAATATTCCTTAATATTGGTGTTACATACATGCCAATACTTACCAAATGAGTTTAAAACTCATCATTTTGTATATGTTTTGATATTAATCCTTTTTTTTAAAAAAATATTAGAGATTAATTTTTATTAAAATTAACAAAAAAGTTGGAGCTTTATGGGTTTTTGTTCAATCTTCATATCAAAAGTTCCCTCATTGTTATAGGTTGAAGTGCCAAAAGTGGAAAACATAAAGCAAAGGAAGAAGTGATGGCTAGCAACTTGATTGGGATCTTTTTTTACAAGACGATAAGGGATAAAAGTTAGATTAGTAAATGTAGAGAATTACACTCCAAAATTGATAGAAATACTAACCCATTAAGCAATGGAAGCATCTGCACTTGATTAGGATTGTTTAAGTAATTTTGATAATTTTGAATTTATATATATATATATATATATATATAGTCCTGATCTCTTGCTCCCTATGGAGTAAGAAAAATAATCACACTTTTTATATAGACAGTTAGATTAAATCTAATGGCCATTTTACAAACCCACCCATGATCTTTCCTTTTAACACAAAACCGCTCTCACCCTATTTTTAGTTTCTATAATTAATTTTACCATTACTACCCACTGTAACAATAAAAAGTAATTATAAAAGGTAAAAATAGAAACCTTCGAAAAAAATTAATTCCCGTAACTTTACTTTTATTTGTCGTGGAAGAGTTTACCTTAAGACTTTGAGGATTAAATGTTTTTAAATTTTGTTAAGTTTCATCCCTTTACGAAGAGATTAAATTTTTTGTTTTCATTTTATTTAGTTTAAGCTTTAACAATTTTGAATAAAGTCAATGTCATATGATTCTATTATTCAGTTGTATAATATTGTTATTCACACATACACGCACAAATAACTATAACAATAATACTTCTTTTCATGAGAGTTTTGGTTCTGAAACAATATGAAACACCGGTTTTGTGTTAAAAGGAAATGTCATAGGTGGGTTTGTAAAATGACCGTTAGATTTAATCTAACGGTTTATATAGAAAGTGTATTATTTTTCTTACTTCATAGGGAGTAAGAGATCAGAACTCTATATATATATATATAAAAGACCTTTAGTGGATAATTTGTTGACTAACAAAAATAAATTCTAAAAAAGATCAGTCTCTTTTTAGAAAGATACGGATACAAAATTATGGAATTTAAGTCCAAAAAATCCCTTTTCAAACAAGTCACCTTAGATTGGAAGAAAAAGTCACCAAAGAGATATTTATGATTAGAATATTTATTTTAAAACCATATTTTCTAATATCACATTAAAACACCTTTTGAAAGTTATTATCACTAACATTATAAACAATCTTTGTAACATTACAAACATTTGATCCGTTTTTCACCCTGCCTTCAAAAATTAATTTTCAGATATATCAGATCACTTTTTATAGTTAAAATGATATTACTAACCTTTAGGCTCTATGTGTACAAAATGAGTTGAAATGATTTGGATATCCTTCTACTTCCCTTCGTCACTTTTTACAGGAACTTTGTCCTTCAATTTTTCTTTTCATTTCTTCGAACCAAATACCTTGAGCTGATTACTTCCTCTTCTTCTACATGTAATTTTATTCCCACTAATCTTGCTAACATGTCCAAATATGTCTCTTCGCTAACCAATCAATGCCGCTGCAACAGTAGAAATCCCCTCAAACCCAATAAAATGAAACCCACTGATACTTGGTGTCCGCATAACTATATTTATATATATATCACGTACCTTAAATTTCTCACTTCGATCGATCCAAATACTTCAAACAACAAATACTGAAATCGAACACGAGTAGCAATTAAACATAAATAACATATTGTTTAGAATTAAAACAAGTTTAATAAGAGTTCCAAATTAATATATACATAAGCAAATCCAAATTAGAATAGTAAAACTAATTATGTATATATATATATATATATATATATATATATATATATATATATTCTGAACTCAAAATGAGTTTATACAAAATGAGTATTCTGAAACTAATTATGTGTGTGTGTATATATATATATGTTCAGTATGAATCCATAATGGGTTTATACAGTGAAAAGTGCTCATTGTAAAATGGGATGATGCTTGTGCCATGGTGTTTAGTCGTACATGAGCGGGACGGAGAGAGAGGGGGAAAGAGTATTTCATCTCCCTCAATCCAAACCAAGAATTTAATCCACACCCTCCATAAGAAAATTCTAGATTTTACTCGTAAACTATACAATCAACCCCAAAATCATCCGACCAATCCCAATTTCAACCCATCTTCATATGGGTTTGTTGGTGACTGTTTATTTATGTATTTATATTTATCTTTGATAAATATATATATATATATATATATATATATATAAGGAAATAGAAAGTTATATATGGGAACGAAAGTGTATACACTAATGGGTGTGGGGAAAGGAGGTTTATGAAGCAGAAAGATAATGACCCATTGGGAGAGGGAGAGAGGGGGGGTTAAAACGGTCATTTAAGTTATATGATATTTTAAAATAAATGAGATTAAAATATTAGGGACAAAGTTGTCTTTTTATATATTTTTAACATCATCGTGACAAAAATATAAAAAGTAAAATTGAATTTAAGTGAGACAGTAATCCTTTCCATGGCATCTCTCATTGGAGGGTGTCCATGGCAGATCTAATGGTTGGGATGAAGTCACGTCTACTTATTTTGCCATGTCATTGCCTTGTTAGCATGATCAAGCGCCAAATCAGC